ATAATGGCATACTTAGTCTGTGTAATACCCCTAATTTTCAAAAGGATAGTCTCGGTATTTTGTTTAATTGTTTTTTTGTTCATTAATTATTTTTGGTTCATTAATTGTTTGGAATTATGTTTTAATTGACTGTTTTAATTGACTTTTTAATTATTTGATTTACTTGATTTATTTGTGTTATTTGAATTAATTAGTTGGTTTATTTGTTTTCTTTGGTTTAATTACTTATTTGAATTATTTACATTAATTGTGATAATTGTGATTATTTAAGTTAATTGTTTAGTTATGTGTTTAATTGTGATGGTGTTATATTTAATTCTTTATTGTCAATTTAAATTGGTAATTGTCTTGATTTAACAATTAGGGTTAAATTGGTAATTGTCTTGATTTAATAAGTAGGGTTTTACTTTTAATCAGTTTGTAAGCCGTCGTAGGTTTGTCAGTATGTTGGATGGGCCGGTTAGGATTTCAGTTGGGGCTTGAATTAATTTAGGGTTTAGAAAATCCTATAAATAAATGTTAGATGTTGGTTAGGGTTTGAGAAACATAACAAAACCTATACGACTGTGGAGACAAAGGAAGAACAGAGAGGGTTCACGTTGGTTTTCATCGGAACTTTAGAGACGGTGTAGAGATTTTTGGACAAAGATCTCAAAGGTAAGTTCTAACCTTACTCTCTCCCTTATACTCGTGTTCTTTGCATACTCAATGGTTCCAGGATGAATTACATGTTTAAAAATAAAAACGTTATCTGTTTCATGTTTAGAGTGTAACTGAAACTGAATTTGGTTTAAAAATTGTAAACTGCTTAACTTTGAACTTTCTTGTTTAATTCTTGGTTTAATCCATATTAGTAGCATAATAAGGACTGAGTTAAGGGTTGGAATCTTCTGGGATTAAGTTAAACTCTCTGAAAACCTATACTGTGAAGTGTCGGAGGCGTAAACGGCGACCGGAGAGGAGAACACGAAGAAGAGGAGGGAGAGAGCCGGCTCCTATTGGATTGGAGCCGGCTCCTTGGACTGGAGGCGGCTCCAATGGTCTAGGAGCCGGCTCCAGGGCCATTGGAGGCGGCTCCAATATTCTGGAGCCGGCTCCGGGTTGTTTGTTCGTGGATTTTCTGGGTTCTGTTGGTTGTTTTTCTAATTTTCAGTGATTAGGCTTCCTAGTGATTGTTTTAATGTGTTTTAGTGGAGAATAAATACTGTAATGGATAGTTTAGGAGTGGTCTAGAGTAAACATAAATATGCAAAGATCGGATTAACATAGAATTGGACACAAAGCATTAATCATTAGGATTACATGGAGTTAATTACGAATGTCTTGCAGACTTGTGTGGGTTTGAAGTTTCTAACTTCCAGATTATAATGTAAAATTTCTGGTGAGAGTTTGTGCACTGCTAATTGCAAATTCTTAGAGTATACCTACATACAAGGAATTTGTATTTTTGCTAAAGATTAATTGATGATTAAACTTAACATTTAATTCGTCAATTTTGTTGAATAGGAGCCTAACAGTATGATAAATTGTCTAGATTTATTATACCTGCCATGGAAATAAATATTATAACATTTGTTTAAGCTCTGTTAATTATGGATACCGGGAATAAACTTATATTTACAGACACAGTCCTGTGGGTGATCAGGTAATGGCTTATTGCTGGATTAATTAAGTATGTTTTCCTAGTATACTTTAATGTGCTTAGTTTGGAACTATGGGTTTTGACACTGATACTGGTAGTTCTTAATCAGTGGTTGGATTTATTAAAGCATAATGGTTAATCTATTCTAACATGGTTAGGTTGGAATTGTTGGTTTTGGCATTTATAAATTATTTAAATGCATGGAATAGAGTAATTAATATTGATATTTATGTTTCCAATGTTAATCAATTTGTTGGGACTATTCAAGAACGGTTGTTACTACATTCTGATATGCTTGATATGGACTCGTTGATACTGTTATGTACTTGTATATGCTTTATCAACTATCGGACAGATTGGATTGTATGTACCGGTATGGGACGGTGACATACTAGGTTTGGATTAGCTCAAATTGCTAAGTCCTACCTATTTTGGAGTAAGGGCACGGGTTATAAAATACAATCCTCCTTATATATATAAGTCAGTACGGTTGAATACGCCGAGTGACTTACTGGATTTCTTATGGATGGTTAGAAACGGAGTTTAGATATATTTTTATGTTACCGTGTCATGAGCTTGAGTCTCAGTGTCGACGGTTAGGGTGCGTATATGCAGTTGGATGTGTAGCTGACTGTGAAGGTTGAGGTATACCCTATAATGGTTTAGGTACTCATGCCCACCCAGGTGTGTATTGTGTGATGCCTTCTATCCAGGTTGAGACCCCCTTCATGGCCTAGCGAGAGTCCAGTAGTGTGGATATATTTATGTACGGATTATTAGTTATTGTTGAACTATTTAGTATGTACATGCGTATCGAGTCTCTGCTTGGATTGTAGTAGGTTAGAACTTGTTCGTGGGCCTGACCCACTCCTATTTTTCAGGTGTACGTCAGTTCCAGGCTTGAGCTTGTTCGTGCTGAGCAGAGACGATCTTCCATTTTACCGACAATGTAGGATTTCTTTCCAGATCTTGGATTTGGATTTTATCTTTCATTTTACTTTCATTCAGTGTGAGATTTTTATTAGGGGTCCACTAGAGATGGATTCCCGAGTTGTTCAAGTTATGGATATTTGGTTTATCAAATTTAAGTATTTAATTATTTAAGGATTATCTTTTAGTTTCTTTTCAGCTTTAAACTTTCATTTCTTAATTCATTTTGTATTCCGTGTTCGTTATAAAATATTAATTATTTGATATTCCCTCGGGTTTGGGCCTGGGCCTGATCAACCCGTGTCTCGGATCCGAGAGGTATCACAGTCTGCCCTTTGCCCTTGACGAGAGGGCCAATCAAGTCCATTCCCTATTGAGCAAATGGCCATGGTCCTGACATGGGAGTTATCTCCTCTGACGGTTGTCTCGGGATGTTGGCAAATCGTTGACACTTGTCGCACTTTTTAACTAAGTCAAGTGTATCTTTCTGCATGGTGGGCCAATAGTATCCTTGTCGGATGGCCTTGTTAGCAAGTGACCTACCCCCAGCATAGTTTCCGCAAACTCCTAAGTGGATCTCCCTCAAAATGTAGTCAGCTTCCTCGCTAGAAACGCATCATAAATACGGTATGGAGAAGCTTATCTTGTAGAGCACCCCTTTGATAAGCGTATACCTAGCTGCCCGCATTTTGACCTTTCGAGCTTCTGCTCGGTCTGTTGGTAGCACCCCATCCTCGATATATCTAATGATAGGATATGCCCATTCCACACTTAATATCACTTGTTGCACTTCAATTTGTCTCTCCTGAGATATAGATGGTTCGTCCAAATATTCCAGTGGTATAGTCTTATTGAGCTCAGGTTCCAATGCAGTAGCTAGCCGGGCTAAGGCGTCTGCTTTCCTGTTCTCTTCTTGTGGTATTTGATGAATTGAGAATCTTTGGAAGTGATTCTTTAATTCCTCCACCTTTTATAGGTAACTCTTCATCTTCTCGTCCCGTGCCTTATATTCTGCTCGAACTTGTCCAGCGACCAACTGGTAGTCGGTGTACACCTTTAATTGCTCAACCCCTAGGGCATTTGCCACTTTTAATCCTACTATCAAGGCTTCATATTTTGCCTCGTTGTTGATTACTTTGAAACCAAACCGAAGTGCGTACTATATACTTTCTCCCTCTGGGGAAACAAGAACTAGCCCGGCTCCGCTAGCCTGAACATTAGATGAACCATCCACGAACAAGTCCCAAACTACCTTTGGGCCCATCTGCTCACTTGAACCTGGTTCTGTCGAAAATTGGGTTTGTTTCTCCTCTTCTAGAGGGGTAAACTCAGCTAAGATATCAGCCAACACCTGAGCCTTTACTGCTGTTCTTGGCTTGTACTGAATGTTGAACTCTCCTAACTCTACCGACCACTTCATCAGTCAACCAGAGCTTTCTGGCTTGTATAGGACCTGTCGAAGGGGTTGATCTGTTAGGATCACTATCGTATACGCTTGAAAGTATGGTCTCAGTTTCCTGGCGGACATAATTAAAGCAAAGGCCAACTGTTCCATCCTTGGATATCTTTCCTCCGCACCCCTAAGTGCTCTACTCACAAAATATACTGGCCTTTGGACCCCTTCTTCTTCTCGTATCAGAGCTGTACTGACAGCTGTCGTGGAGACTACAAGGTATATGTATAGTTCCTCTCCCAGTATGGTTCAAGACAGTAGTGGGGGTGAACTAAGGTATTACTTTAGTTCTTTGAATGCCTGCTCACACTCTGGGGTCCATTCAAAAGCTTTTCTTAGCACACGAAAGAAAGGTAGACACCTGTCAGTTGACCGAGAGATTAGCCTACTCAAGGCAGCAGTCTTCCTTGTTAATCGTTGTAGATCCTTGGTTGATCTTGGCAATCTCATGTCAATGACTGCTTGGATCTTCTCTGGATTGGCCTCAATTCCTCTTCTGCTTACCATATATCCCAAGAACTTTCCTGAGGAAACCCCAAAGGCACACTTGCTGGGGTTGAGTTTCATTTTATGCCTCCTAAGTACCTCGAAGGTCTCCTGCAGGTTAGTCAAATGGTCTTCAGCCTTTAAGCTTTTCACCAACATGTCATCAACATATACCTCCATGTTTCTGCCAATTTGGTGCTTAAACATTGCATTCACTAGCCTCTGGTATGTTGCACCAGCGTTCTTGAGCCCAAAAGGCATTACTTTGTAACAGTACAAACCTCTATCAGTGATGAAGGCCATTTTTTCTCTATCTAAGGTGTACATAGATATCTGGTTGTATCCAGAACATGTATCCATGAAACTTAGTAGTTCGTGTCCAGCCGTTCCCTCAACGAGCATATCAATTCTTGGGAGAAGAAAGCTGTCCTTCGGGCAAGCTTTGTTAAGGTCGGTGAAATCCACACGTAGCCTCCACTTTCCATTTGCCTACTTCACTAGGACCACATTTGCCAGCCAGTCGGGGTAGTACACCTCTTGAATAAAGTCGACTTTTAAGAACTTTTCCACCTCTTCTGATATAGCCTGATTCCTCTCTAGAGCGAAAGTCCTCCTCTTTTGTCTGATAGGTTTGAAGTTAGGATTTACATTTAAGCGGTGCTCCATGATAATGGGGTCTATACCTGGCATGTCTTCATGCACCCATGCAAATACGTCTCGATTTTTCCTGAAGAATTGAGTAAGTTCATCTTTGATACCCGGGGGAAGTGAAGACCCTATACTCACTTTCTTCTCGGGCTCACCATCACCAAGGATGACCTCTTCTAGCTCTTCTGTAGGTTCTGCTCTATGAAAGTCTGGCCTACCTTTCCCTCCCAGCCCTTCAATCATAAGTGCCTTTTGCGATTTTGTTTTTCTGAGAGAGGCGACATAACATTCTCGAGCCATTGTTTGGTCCCCTCTTAGCTCTCCCATATCATACTCAGTTGGGAAACGCATCAGGAGATGGTAAGTGGAAGTGATTGATTTCATGGCATTCAATGTTGTCCTCCCCAGGATAATGTTGTATGATGATGGGCAGTCCACCACTACAAAGTCCACCATTACAGTGACCTGCTTTGGATTGGCTCCTGCAGTTACTGGAAGGGTAACTGCCCCCAGTGGATATACTTTGTCGCCTAAAAATCCCACCAGTGGTGATTTCATGGGTCAGAGCTTCTCTCGGCAGATTTTTAATTTGTCGTACACTTCAATAAATAGTATGTCAGCCGAGCTACCATTATCTATCAGTATTTGTCGAACAGTGAAATTAGCGACGACCATAGAAACTACCAGAGGGTCATCATGGGGCTGGTGAATCCCCTTGTCATCTTCTTCAGAAAAGGTTATGACTGGCTCTTCAACTCGCGGTAATTTTGTTGGAGGACTTATCACTCTAACTTTATTTACCTCTGAAAAACTCTGAATTCTCATGGCATGAGCCTTTTGAGCCAAACTCGTCTCCCCACCACCAGCGAAGCCACTTGATATAACTCTGATCTCACCCATTGGTTGGTGTTGAGGAGGGCGATCATCTCGGCCCTCTCAGGCTGGATTAGAGCCTCCTTTTCCATTCCCAGTCGTAAATTTGCGTAAATAACCCTTACGAACAAGGTTCTCGATCTGGTTTTTGAGGTCGAAACAATCTTCTGTGTTATGTCATGGTCCCAGTGGAACCTATAGTATTTATCTCGAGACCTCTTTGTTGGATCAATCTTTAGCTTTGGCGGCCATTTCAATGATGCGTCATCTTGAATCTGCAGAAAAACCTGCTCTACAGATGTATTTAGGGGGGTGTAGTTATTATACCTGCCTGGGCTCACTGGACGGCGAGACGATCTATCAACCTGGCTGTTTGAGAATTTCTTGTACTTCAATTCCCTTTCCTCCCTAATGCTAGGTGCTGGCCTCTTTTTACCCGACTTCTTATCTTCACCATCTTTGTTTTTTTGTGCATTCATAGCATCCTCAGCGTTCATGTGCTTCCGTGCTCTAACCATTAACTCTGTTATGCTCGTAGGGGCTTCCTTTGACAAGGAAAATAGGAACTTAGAGGTCTGTAGTCCTCCCATAAAGGCTGTGAGGACAACCTTGTTGTCCACCTCTTCTACCTGCAGCATTTCAGTGTTAAAACGACTTATGTAATCACGGATAGGCTCTCCCTTCTGCTGTTTTACATTCAATAGATGTGTTACTGGTCGCTTATGCCTCTGCCCAACGATGAAGTGTCCTATGAATTGTTTGCTCAACTCTTCAAAGTTTTCAATAGAGCCTGGTTTTAATTTATTGAACCAAAGACGAGCCCAACCCTTTAGTGTGGTAGGGAAAGCCCTGCACATAATCTCATCTGGTACGGCTTGTAAATACATAAGAGCTTTGTAGGTCTCCAAATGGTCAAGAGGGTCCCGCGTCCCATCGAAGCTCTCAAGGGTTGGCATCTTAAATTTGCTAGGTAGAGGACAACTCATAACAACTGGGCTAAAAGCTAAGTTAGTTTTGTGAACCATATCGTTCACTGCAGCCTGGCCCTTCCCTTTCATCGCTTGCATAACATCGTCAACTCTAGCTTTCAGATCCTGAATCTCTAGATCAAAATGAGTGGCATCCTCAGTCTTATCACCAACATAACTAGAAGTATCTCCACGGAGCCTAGTGGTATTCCGTTCAAGGAACCGATGGTGATGGCTCCTCTGTTGACCCCCTATTTGACTAAGCTCAACATCGTTGTTAACCCTACGGGAGTCATTGTTGGGTACTTCACTGTTTCTCTCCTCGTTGGGGACAGCTAAGCGTTGCAGAATCATCACATTTTGTTGGATTAAGGTTTGAACCTGTTGTTCCAATGCTGTGACCCGTTCCTGATCATTTGGAACGATGGGGGGTTGCCCCATCGAGTCCCCTTCATCAGAAGCCTACAACGCTTCGTCCTCACCAGCGGCCAGACCAAATCATAATCGAACCATGCTTTGTTTAAAGAACAAAAATATGTTCCCACAGACGGCGCCAACTGTTGATGATGGATTCTGCGCAACCCAAATCTGATCTGACTTCCAGAATAAAGAGAAGAAAAAATGATCTTACAAACACCGGTGTGTTACCGGTGGAGTAGGCTCCGATGAACAAGTCAGTGTGAGGAGTAATCTCTCTGGAGAAATCAAGAAATTGAATTAGAATTTATTGCGTACCTCAAAACGTCGATTAGCCCTCTTTATTTATAGGGCTTAGGTCAGGATGTTACGTAGATTTCCCGTCATCTTAATCCTTATCGTCATCTGTAGGCCTAATCCCTATCGTATTTTGTAATCCTTATTTGTAATCTATAATCCTTATCTTAGCCTGTAATCCTTATCTTAGCCTGTAGAGCCTATCTTAATCTTATGAGATAGTGCGTTACTTTAACGATCTTCTCCTATCCACGGGTATTTAAATTATACATCCATCAACAATAAACACCAACATTCATTAGAGATTCAAGAGTACACATCCACTAATGGAACACAATAGCATGCAAAAAATATAAATTTCAATAAAAAAAATAAACTAATTGAATTTTAAGAATGGCAATTTTGACTAAGAATGAAAAAAAAAAAAGGATCTTGAGAAAATCGCCTTCTTTTTGGAGCCCATTCATGCTCAAGAGCGAAAACATCTTATTCTTTTGAGACTTTACCGCAACACCTGAGAGACTATTTTTTATTACCACTAAATAGTCTTTATGTTCTTTGGATGTAAAGTTAGCAACATAATAGTATGCAAAAAGACAACTTTCAAGAAGAACAAACTAATTGAATTTTAAAGTAAAAGACAAGAATTGAAAAGTAAATAGAAAAATGAAGGCATATTTTTATAGAAGTGTTATTAGGAATGAAAATTTTGAATAAGAAAGAAGAACAAGGATATTGAGAACAACCGCCTTTCTTTTGGAGCCAGGTGTTGCTTATGAGCCAAATCATCATTTTTAGCGTGGTTTCATCACAATACTCACGAGATTGTTCTTTGATTGCCACTACATGGAACTTGGTCATAATCTTATAGCTTAGTGTTTTTCTTAGGTTATAATTAAAATTGGTACTAATATTATCCTTAAAAAAAAAAAAACTTCGTAAATTTAGGAACTTAGGATACTAACATTAATTGAATTAAAAAAATATTTTAATATATTATCGTTAACACAAGAAGAATTTCAATTGAATTAAAGAACATAACACTAGAGTAGTAATAGAAATAATAAGGTATAAATTTTATAATGTTTTTAGTATTTATTAAGATATATTTTTCTTTTCCTTTGTATTTGTGAAGTTTATTAAGTATGAAAACCCATAGACTTTTTGGTTGAAACGATGACTTGGTACAATAGATGGCTATAAAGACTCCGCTAAACAACATATATCAACTTTTTTTTATTATATTGTAGGTCCGCTTTGCTTTGGAGGAGTGCTTGTAGTTGTTTGTTGTACTTACACCATGTCATCGTTATAACGATTGTAATGAATAATTTCTCATGCTATTGGAGTTGAAGTCTTCAACCGAAGACTTTGGCCAATCACAGTGCATGGTGCACTAAAGGCTTGGGGCGCAAGAATCATTATTCTTTAAAGAGTCGCGAGCAAAAAAACACCCTTATGATTTTCATATAGTGTATATAACTCCTACTACGTTCTTAAAACTCCTTAATATTCAATTTCAAGTGCAAACATGTCAACTGCTGTAAAATGTATACTAAAAAGACTAAAATGCCCTTCTATATAGTGTATGTGTTTTATGTTTGTTGCCGCCACTTAATGGATATAATTTGATTGGTTTGGCCTCTTTTTGAATTGGACCCAAACTTAAATCAGATGATCGGAATTTTCGCAACTTGCTTAAATTACAATACTACATACATTTTTCGCTGATTAACAAGCTCGATATGTAATTTTATTACATATATATGCATAACCAAGATTGAATTCCACCCTAAGAGTACACTGCAGTACATAAATAAAACCTTAATGTCCCCTAAAATAAACTGACAATCTGTATAGTCAACTTTCTATAGTAGTGCCACTGTCACCAGCGCTATTGAGAGACATTGAAATCGATGATGGTGGAGGCACGGCTTAGGGCTAGTGGTGGTGACAATGACGGTGGAGGAAATGGCGGCGAACATGCTAGAGAGATAAATGGGTGGAGCAGGAGTGATGGTGGAAGGGGCCATCAATGGTGATTTTGGGTAGAGAGGGGATGGTGATGGAAGAGAGACAGATAGAGTTGCTGGCAGTGGTGGTTGTAGGGAGTGGGTGATTGTGACGGCGCTGCTATAATTTGAGGCCTTAGGCAAAAAAAATAAAAGTGGCCTTTTAATATGTAATATATTAAAATTAAATAATAATTAATAATATTTATTTAAAAATTACACTTTTATTTTTTCAGATGCAAAGTTTTTAATTAGATTAGGGGGAATTGCAAACAATGCCCCTTTCCTATTACCCAGTTGCGAAAAATTCCCTTTATGAATATTTTTGGCAAAAAATCCCGCTCAACTATCTCAAGGGGGTGTTTTAACGGTTGTCCGTTTTAAGTGGTTGTCTGAGAAAATTTTCTGAATAAAATTACCCCTTAACAGATTATTCTTCAGATAATTTTTTTTTAGTTTTTCTCTTTTCTCTCTCTGTGTCAAACAAGCCTTCTCATTTTTTCAAACACAAAGCTAACAACAGATCTAGAAACCCAATTGTTAAAAAATTTATCTTTCAACACTGTTTGGACAACATGATATAACACATGTAAACAATAGTTAAACCCCAAGAATACTTAGTTATTTTTCACTTAATCTATTACTTATTTTTATTTATTTACTTTTTTTTTCATCCATGTAAAAAGTGTTATGTTTCCATTGGTTTCTTACCATCTTAATAATAAGATTTTTTTAAAAAAAAATATCTTAATAATAAGAGTAAGTAAACTTTCCAAAAATTACCCCATATACTTCGTCCACATGGTATGTAATTTTTGAGCAAAAAGTTACTTTGGGATATTTCGTGTTCTCTAAGTAAGTAAAAAAAATTTTAAAAAAAAAAATCGGATTTGAAAAAGAAAGTATGTTGCTTTTTAATTGTCAATTTTAGTCTACTTACTTGCTGTAGCATAATTCAATTTAGGAAAAGAAATAAATTGGACTAAGAAAACATGACAAATTATTAATTATTTTTCTTAAAATAATTAATTGTTATAATGGATGTTAAAGATCAAGTGTACTGAAGGAGTTCTTGAGCTGCTTAATTTTTCCATCTTCTATTCCAACGCCATGGTGGATTTTCTCTCTCTTGTGCGGTTGTACTCAATTTTATTTTATTAATTATACATAGCTTAAATATGATTTTATTGGCTTTTCATTTTTTGTTTTTTTGAAAATTTTTATTTACTACTTCATATACCTTGCTTGACGAAGAGAG